GCAGTACAAGTAATATAAATTCAATCCACTATATCCTGTGGAAATCATTTACATCAAAAGCTTTGTTTAAAAAACGGTTTTAGTTAATACAACTCTAGTCAAGAGAGCATTCAAATTCAATGAGCAGCTGCGAGAATCTCATACAGAACTGAGGATTTTCAACACTAAAACGACAAATAGAGTTTGGTGGCAGACGCGATCACAATGACCATAAATGACACAGTAAGCTGTTTAATATCAGCAGATTTTGCTGACTTTAACGTAGATACACTACCACCAGTAGTTGTACCTGTATGGACAGTGATTAGTGTTGTTAATGGACTCGCTTTTCCAGTTACTGTGATACTGAACGTTTTGATTATTTGGATAGTAATGGCAGATCAGGAACTTCGTTCCTTTAATTACAATCTTCTTCTAGCAGCTCTGGCTGGAATTGATCTCTTGTTCGGGGTGTTTGTGCAGCCGCTGCACACTTGGTATCATATATGTTTACTGAACAATTGCCAGGTACGTTGCTCATTTTCAGTAATCGGAATAGCGGCTATAATTTCCAACTGCCCGGCCATGTGTACTTTAACGATTACGAGTATTGAGCGGTACTTGGCCATAGAGCATCCATATTTCCATGAAAAGTACGTCACAACCAAGAGACTGTTACTTACAGAAGTTGTCATTTCGGTGTTCATACCAATAGCACTTCTGCTAGGCAGAATATTTACGGATGACAATCAAACACCTCGCAAAGTCTTGCCCATGGTGTTTGCCAGTATCAACGTCGTTGCTATCCTGTATTGCAATATGAAAATTCAAATGACGGCGTACAAAAAGAGGAAAGCTATTTCTATACAAATAGTTTCATTACAACAGCTGCAACTGGATGAACAACAAGAACATGAGTTACAACAACAAGCGCGGGAAGAACAGAAAGCACAACAAACGCAGCAACATCCAAAGCAAGAACAACTCGCACTACAAGAGCTACAACAACAACAACAACAACACGAAGCACAAGAAGAACAAGAACGACAAAAGCGAGTCAAGGAATTAAAGAGAAGTTTGACCGTGTTCATGTTATAGTACTTTCAACCATAGTTTTATATATTCCAGTAATTGTTTATACTGTCATCATAGCAACACTAGGGAAAGATGTAACTGAGGACTTTCAGTATATTGCACAATCTATTGCTATGACATTTGTAAACCTTCAGTCTCTCGTCAACCCTGTTATCATGTCACTTAGTATGTCGTATATTCGTAAAGGTATTCAAAACAAACTTTTTTGCTGATGTGAAGGTCTACAATGTAGTTTTTTTAAAAGCACTTTGTAACGTGACTGTGGACTTTGGTTAATCACTAGTTTTAGTGCGTTAAATTTCAATTATATCAAAACGTTAACTTTAAACTAAAAATATTAAAAGAAACTATTTTTTTTGAAAACTTGCATAAAAATTTTATANTTGGCATTCATTTCAAAGCAGAGTCATGTTTTGTGTCTTTTGTTTCCTCGTTGCGAAATTCTTTTAACTGTAAGATCGACAGTATCTACTAGTAAGTTCGTACGAGCAATTTCAGGGCTCTAGCTTACTATTTCGGCAACTTATAGACTTTTGACGCATAGGTCGAATTCGACCTAAATTTCAAGGGGAAGACGGGAAAGAGTTAAGGAGCGCGATTTTTTTTTTCAAGTGTTTTCGAGTGTTGAAGAGATTTTTCCAAAAGTGTAAAAGTAAATTCTTTTATTTACTACAAGGTGCAGAGAAACCACGAATATGTTGTTACCACGAATATGTTATTTTTACTGACTTTTTTTTAACCATTACCATTGTATCAAAATAGTTTTTTTTATTATTAAAAATTAAAAGTATAGCAATTTAATTTACCTCTACTATATACAGTTCAATAATTGAAACTGCAAGGTACTCAATACCATATCTAGACAACCTAAATAGCTTGGCGATTTATTTCAGTATATTTTTTTGCAACTGGACAAGCGAAACTGTGGCAGTACAAGTAATATAAATTCAATCCACTATATCCTGTGGAAATCATTTACATCAAAAGCTTTGTTTAAAAAACGGTTTTAGCTAATACAACTCTAGTCAAGAGAGCATTCAAATTCAATTGAGCAGCTGTGAGAATCTCATACAGAACTGAGGATTTTCAATACTAAAACGACAAATAGAGTTTGGTGGCAGCAGACGCGATCACAATGACATTAAATGACACAGTAAGCTGTTTAATTTCAGCAGACTTTGCTGACTTTAACGTAAATACACTACCACCAGTAGTTGCACCTGTATGGACAGTGATTAGTGTTGTTAATGGACTCGCTTCTCCAGTTACTGTGATACTGAACTTTTTGATCATTTGGACGGTGATAGCAGATCATGAACTTCGTTCCTTTCTAGCAGTTCTGGCTGGAATGGATCTGTTAGTCGGGGCGTTTGTTCGGCCCCTGTATATTTGGTACCATTTATGTTAAGTTTACTGAACGATTGCCAGGTACGTTGCTCTTAATCGGAATAGCGGCTATAATTTCCAACAGCCCGTCCATGTGTACTTTAACGATTACGAGTCTTGAGCGGTACTTGGCCATAGAGCATCCATATTTCCATGAAAAGTACGTCACAACCAAGAGACTGTTAGTTACAGAAGTTGTCAGTTCGGTGTTTATGCCAATAGCACTTCTGCTAGGCAGAATATTTACGGATGACAATCAAACACTTCGCAAAGTCCTTCCCATGGTGTTTGCCAGTATCAACGTCGTTGCTATCCTGTATTGCAATATGAAAATTCAAATGACGGCGTACAAAAAGAGGAAAGCTATTGCTATCCAAATAGTTTCATTACAACAGCTGCAACTGGATGAACAACAA